TAACCAATCTCTTGGTTGTCCAAATGGTATAGGGTTTCTTGCCTGAGCTGGGGGATGGACTAGAAATCCTCCAAGGTCCCTTCCAACTCTGTTATTCTATTATAAAGACTCCCTTGGACAAAGGGTTGGACTTAAAGACCTCCAAGATCCCTTCCAGTCCTATGATTCTATATACAATAAGGTCTAAAATTAGATCCAAGTATATTCATACTTAAAGCAGGCCCATTGATTACAGTGGCAGAAGCAAATTCTCAGTTTAACAAACCAATTTAGCATATTTTGGATATAATGGACAAACTGCATACATAAACTGTCCATAAACTGCATACAAAAAATAATTTCCAAAAGCAGAAAAGTANAAGTAAGGTTAGGATTGCTGCTGCTACTTTTTAAAGGATGGATATGAATGCTTCTATATTGGGGTTGGGCTGAGAAAGCGGCTTTCATGCCTAAAGTGGGATTAGAATTCACAATCAGTTTCTAGCATTAACCACTAGACCAGTTTCTGGTTCCAATGACTACTGGCTTGGGGTGATGACATTTGTAGTCTGGGTCATTTGAAGAGCAACATATTGAGGAAGATTGTAGTAGGCAATTACTACCATTATTTCTCAACAGAAGTGTAATCACATCCTCTAGAAAAGGGAAGAAATTTCAAACACATCTCTGCGCCTTGTGAACCTTTTTTATTGTTTTTATTTAAAAGGAGAGAGAGAAAAGAAAGGAAAAGAAATATCCGGTAGCCAGTTTAAGATAATGATGATGAGTTCCAAAACACATATTGATGAAAATATTTCCACTGTCATAATATTAGCAAATTTAAGAACTATGTATTAATCCAATTATTTTTTAAAAAATACAAAATCTGTATTTGACAAAGACTTGTTTCAAAAGATTCATCTGAGTCCATGTGAAGGAACAGATTCAGGGAGGACCTCAGCAAGGAGGAGCTACTGTTTCAAAAAGAGGCCATCTTGTACCAAAGTAGTTCAGATAGCTTTGGCTGAGATAATCCTGAACATTGTGGTCCACAATCTGGGGATTCTCCTAGTTTCAAAACCTCCTATGAAAACAAAATGTGTTTTGTGATAAGATGAATCTTTGGCTAAGTTCAATTGGTTCATTAGTAGTGAATTTTCTTGGACTAGGAGTCATAGCAATAGTGACTCATGCCTTCATCAGCTCCTACGGTAGTTAAAATACCTATAATTCAATCTACATGGAATTATTCTTGAAGATCACTTGGAAACTACAGTTGGCATAGAATGAAACAAAAAGCTAAGGAAAATAGGACAAGAAAATCCTGCTGATGATGTTACCTAGTCTGGCAGTAAAACATTCAGAAAATAAATTGAAATAAGCTTGGAGAACAAACCACAGCTAAAATAGAATGAAATTTCCTATCCGCTGAATGGTAGGTGATATAGCAGAGACACCCTTATGCTGTGGGAGCTGCACTGGTTACCAGTTGGCTTCTGGGAAAAATTCAAGGTTATCACATATTGCATAAAGCCCTGTATGGTTGTTCTCATTATCTTCAGGATCATTCATCTTAGGTAGATTCTGTTTCCCTAATACTTGAAGCCTATGAAGCATGCTGTAATTTCCACACTCTGGATAGTTAAGGAGGGAGAAGTCGAGTAGATGACCTTCTCAATCACAGAGCATTAAATGGGGACAGCTTGCCTTATGAAGTCAGAGTAGTACCTTCTTATCATTCAAAATATTATTTAAACATTATTTTCTACAGGATCTTTAGAGGGGAAAGCCCAACATAAATTCGACAGGAGATTGATTGATATCAGTGTTGCTGATTTTGTTTTTGTGTTGATTTAGTTGGTGTATTGGTTATAATTATAACTACAAGCCATCTAAAGTAGGTTGATTTAAAATGTTTAAATGAACAACTTACATAAACATCAAAGGCTTTTTCTCTTACAATTATGAAATCACTATTGATTTCAATTTTTATGTATATATCCATTATATTAGTAACATAGTATTATAAGACACTTCTCTTTTTATAAAACCAGATTGTGCCAGATGGATAATCAAGATTCGTATTATCTGAAAACTGCATGCTGGAGTCACAGTCAGTATTTTGGCATCAGTATTAAGAAAGTTGTATAGTCAGCAGGTTCTTTAGAAGCTATCAAAATCACAGCTATTTAAAGTTCACTAAGGCTAGGAAAAACGTTTTTCAAGAAAAGTATTATAAACCTCCAGTTGTACTGGAAATTTCAATGTACATGTATGTATGTGATAGTCAATGTGATAAGTCATCAGGCTTAGAACTTTTCCTGCTTCTATGGATGTAATGGTATCACTAATTATTGGTTAAATTGAAATTAAATATTTTATCGTATCATCTTTGATAATAAAAATATTGGTTTAACTGCATTTATCAAGGGACCAATAGTTTATTGTGTCTTTCCTCTCACTACCAGTATATGTATTAAATGCACAGAAGGAATTAAATTTTTGCCCTACACTCGTTTTTGGAAATACATTATACACATATAATAGTGAAACGTATAAGAAAAAGAGTTTTAAATAAAAAATAAAAAATTACTTAGTTTTATTATGTTGGTACTTTGATGACTTTAGATCCCTCTTTTCAAATTTTGAGAATGACGTATAAAAAACTTTTGACCTATAACATTATTACTATTTAAATTTATAGTAGATTTTTTTAGGAAGATCCTTGGGGTATGATAAGATAGTGCAATAATATATTTATCCATCCATTTAACTAAATACCAAAATACTAAAAAATAATTGAATTGACAACAAATCTGGAGTTTAGTATGATCTTGCTATGTTAGATTTAAAAGCTGCCATCACTAAATTAAATTCTAATATAAAAACTTGCAAAATTTTCCATTTCCAGAATTAAATTTAGGTGGGTAATATTGTGATCTAATAAAGAAACCATATGATCTCCTCTACTAAAGTAAAAAGATGTTAGAACTCCTGTGTGATATATCTGGATAATCCTTAGACCTTAAGTACAGTACATCTACCAAATTATTTAATAACCATTGTTTTTTCTTGTTTATGATTAGAGCAATAAATCAGAGACCCTATACACCTAGCAGATGTTGAATTTCCACAAAGATACACAATAATACAGGTCCTGCATATAGATTTCTTGTAAAAAAGCAATGTCAGATTTTAAATTGCACAATTTAATACTTATTAGAATATTTAAATCTTTTATATTCCAGGAAAGTAATAGTAATGTCATCTTAAATTAAAATTCAAAAGGGAGAGGGGCTAGGAAAAAAACCTGCTTATGGAGAGTCTAATTTCAGGGATTAAAAAAATGGCTGATGTATATAATAATTTTGGAACTTGTCTACTACTATTTTGAGAAATTTTTTAAAAAAATTCTTCATGATTTGTTTCCCAGATTAAAAAAAAAGATAGTTGAAAGAAGATACATAAGCATCATATAAATTATTGTATTTATTTAAATATTTAAAGAGAACAGTACTATCCAAATCAAAAAAATGAAGAAATAGAATGAATAAGGTTCATTTAAAAACCACAATCATAACATATTAAATTTTTTCTGCTTGACAAGATACTGCAATATCTTGTCTGCCATCAAGAAAATATACATGAATCCAGCACACAATTACTTGAATTTAATCCATTTGATTTACTAAATTATGACCTCCTATTTTTAAAGAGGCTAATAAATTCAGTATCACTTGATGGTCACTCAGCTAAAAAATTCATTCTACTTTTTTCCCTTTTATAAAATCAAATTAATCAAACTTACATAAAAATCAGTAAAAGTTTGGTGCTACTAAATTTGAGTAAACTAAATCATATTCAATATTTTAGACTGCATAATGCATCATAGTTTCCCTGGATGCACTAGATCGCATGCCTTTATCGCCTTATACATTCAGTGATTAAGTGGGCTCTTGATAAAATATGAATATTCTAGATTTGTTTTAAGTGCATGTGGGATAAGACAGAAATGCAGGCTGGGAAAACATTTTTTAAAAAACCAACCATGGTATAACATTGTTCAGAATCATTAATTCCCAATCCATTAAAAGCGGAGTAGGAGAATCAACTACTCTAGCTCTTAGATGGGCAGTGGACTCTCATCCCTGAGACTTATCAGGATTATAAACAATCTGAAAGCCAAACAATCCAAATCTCTTTTCTGAACTGCCCCAGGACCAACCAATTTCAAGGCATACCAATCATCTAAACACAGCTGGTAATGGATCTATGACACCCTTCCTTTTCTGATGATCTCTTCCAGAACAACAAAACTGGAAGGATCTTAAAAGGTTATCTATTCAGTACAAGATCTGCCAGATTGTTCACCCACCTCTACTGAAGAACTAAAAGAACTCATCACTTCATATGACAACTTATTCTACAGCCTCTGTGACTGTACATGACAGCTCATACAGTCAGAATGGTCCTCTTGTCATCTACCTTGAACCCATTCCTGTACTTTTAATCCACTTATTTTGGTCCTGCCCTCTGTATAGAGAATGCATCCTCTCTTTCAACAGAGGTCCACTTTCATCATCATCTCAGTTTTTAAGGTACAAAATCTTCATTTCTGCTTTGTACTCTGAACAAGCCATTGGCATTGTAGAAAGACCACAGAAAACAAAGAACTCAGTGCAAAATTGCTATTTAGTCAACCTAAATACCATGGGTTTTAATAATTTTGTTTGGAAAAATATATTTAAAAGATATTCCAAAACCAAGCCAATTTTAATTCTCTTTCAAACCACTGAAACATTCACTATTGCAGCAATAGGTTTTGCAACCTATACATGTTCTGGGCATTAAAAAAGTATCAGCTAAGAAGAATAACATTAATTAAAATTCAGTGTTGCTTGTTATCTGGTTTCTTTAGCATAAAAATGGTATGTCTTGAGATATAACTGAAGGAGAAAGACTATACTTGAGAATGCTGGCTTTTTTTAAAAAAACAAAAGAATATATACAAGACTATATAAAATATATACACATATTCTACCAGTGACCAATTTGGGTCAAAATTCGACACAGCTACATTCTGTATAAAATATAAGCACTATTCAATGAAGTCCTTCCATGATATTCCCGTAGTATTCCCTTGAACCCAGTGAGAAATTGCTGTTAAGATGCCCATGCTGCCAGTTGCTGCATATCGTCATCATCTTCCACCCTCTTCTTTGAAGATGCTATAACAAAAGATAATAATTTTTCAGCATACTAGAAGAACATAGTTTTGCAGTCTCTGGAAAGAATATTTGGATTAGAGACATTGTGGCTAAAAATTAAAAGACATATCTTGTAAAAGGATGATTTCAGTAAAACTATTCAATAAGAATTCTTTGCATAGCTTTACATCAGATCAGAAGACCTGAATCCAGACGACCAAATCCAAGTTCAGCTTTGGCTACTGCCAAATTATTACTCCGTGTACAGTGTATTTTTTCAAAATACTCCAATTATTATTAGTGGTCCTCACTTCCAGTAATTGGAACTGAGAAGGCCATCGCCAAGCAAGGAAGGAACATCATGTGATTGCACTGACTTATGATAGCAATTCCAGTTGCCATTTTTAGGCAAATCCCATGCAGTAGCAGCATTCTGTAGTCAAGTGATCACCAAACTTTCTGCCAGCTTCCTCACTGACTTTGCTTGCTGAAAGCTGTGAATGAAGTTTGCAAATGATCATTACATGACACAGGATGCTGTGATGTCATAATTGTGAGCTGGTTGTCAGGTATCCAAATTGGCATCATGTGACCAACAACCAAAACTATGAGGACCAGTCATAAGTACTCCTCACTGACATCAAGAACTCATATCACTCTTAGATGTTAAGATAGCTACTATGATATCCAGGTATGTTAAATTTGGTGATTTTTCCTTTTCTCCTTAATATTCTTATATCCTATTTTCATAATAGACTAATTAATATAAGAAAACAATTTACCAGGATGAGAAGGCAATTGGGTAGCTGGGACACTTGGTAAATGAACATTTTTCATCTTATTATTGAGTTCCTCTTGCTCCAGTTCTTCTAATTCTTCCAAAAGTTCATCCTGAAATTTTAAAATTTGGCAGGTTATATTTCAATAAACAATGCCTAAAGTCAACAGAACCTCTAATTACAACAGTCTCACAATTGTAGCCAACCAAGTATAGTTGCCTTTATAAACTTTATAAAAGAAACTTTATAAATTTATTTTAGGTTTTCAGCATGCCAGGAACCTTTACAAATGGATACTTTTAGGACAAATAAATTTTATTGGAGATCTGTAGAACAGCAGGCAAAGCTGGTGGGCAGAGTTAAATGTGTCATCAGTTTAGAATCCTTGCATTGCCATAAGATATCCAAGTCCAGTCCCCCTTGAATTCCATTGACCCTTATCTAGCGCCAGTTTAGTACTGACCATTAATTGACCAGATTCTTGTGTATGAATAAATCTTCTATGATGCAATTTTATGAATGTACCTGATATTTTGCACCTGACAAGAGCTCAACCAAATATTTTAAGTAGCTATTGATTGATAAGAATAAAATAAAATAACAGAAAAAATATCAAAATATCAAAATAATATTATGGTACTAAAAATATATAGTTGAATACAAAATATAGTTGAATACAAAAAAAGGCTACGAGTATTTTTTTAAAAAAGAGTTGTTTTACTTTGTGGTCATTCTATTACCCAAAAATGACTCTATGGCTTCAGTCTTTCTGGTTTTGTATAGAGAAGCTATTGCTACATACTCACAGTTGCTTCAGTTTAGTGGTAGAAAATGACTTAATTTAAATGATATTAATGAATTCCACTCCAAATATCTCAATATGTACTGAGCATGCTTAGTAAATGTGTTCTTAATGAGGGCGAAAACAGAAAAGTGGGGAAAGAGGGATAGAACAAGACCTCTTGAAGTCTGCCAACTGTTATTCATCACAAGACACAAAGAAGAGGAGTCCATCTTGTATTCCACCTTTCATTATCTTCTTCATGGCCTAAAATAGGGAGCTTTTTTCTATTTTCTGTGTTGAATCACAACCTATAGATGAGGTCCTCAAAACAGAAGAGCTGGTTTGCAAGTATGGTGAAAATGGGAATAGAGAAAAATACAGTAGCTTAACTATAATCTTCCCTCCTTGCAAGTGACACAATTTCCCTGAATGCCATATGAGGACAATGGAGTGTACTAGAAGGCATGATTGACAAGCTAGAATAAAATTAGGAATTACCACACATTGCTACTACCTATGTAGACTCCATCTGATATGTCAAAAATTCAATTATTTTGTCAGAAATGGGAATATGTATTTGCATTGTTTTGACATAACAATTTGCATTCTCTTTTGAATACTTTATTCAGGACATTCCAGTCTCCATTTTTCAACAAATATTTCTTCAATCATTTGAGAATTCAAGTGCATTTCAGGAAAAATGTTAAAGCACTTGGAAAAGAGCTAGACAACAATTATAGCAAATTTAAAATTAGCAGTAATATTAAAGTCAGGGACACTTTTTGTTCTTAGATGTCAAAACATACCTCATCAAAGTCATCACCAACCCTTCTTGTGAGAGCCTCTGTGATTTCTTGGGCAATATCTTGCTGCTCAGTGATATCTTGCATCATTTCATCAATTTTGTCCAAATCCCTAAGGATAGAAGGAAAGAAGGAATTATTTAGTCAATTTGTATATCATGCTTCACGACAGGATGGCAGAGTGGATTCCAGTAAAATTATGAGGGTTTCATAAATATCAATAATCATCAAAAAAAAGCAACAGCAAAATAGAGATTTAAATTTTGGGGGGCGGTATTGAAGGTCTGGGGAAATAGTAAAGATATAATATTAAGTTATCTATTTTAATGAAGCACTTCAATAAAACAAAGTATAATTAATAAACACACACTCTTTATAAACCATTATCTTGGCTTATTAGTGTATTTAAAGGGCCATCAAAGGCAAATTTAGCCTGTGATAAGATGAAAGTTGCAGAAAAATGCCTTCAGGTATTCAACTTCCAAATTCCATAACGGCTTTAAATCCTATAAGAGCCTTTGAACTGCTTACAAAAAGTATTGAATCAAATTATTAATTAAGCAAAACAGGTATACATAAGGAGCAGTCCCAGTGAGTTTTCAAGCAGTTTGCATTTTGGAGATTTGGAAAACTCTAATTGGGAACTTAAACATGGGTGTCCTAGAGATGGATAAGCCATAAAATAATTCTCTTTTATGCCCAGAGCATCATGAACCATATCCAGCTTTGAGGATTAACATATGTAAAGTCACTATACTATTTTTGGCATGGCTGAATTGGCAAGGTTCACAGAAGGACCAAACATTCAGAAGATTTCTGGAAGATTCTATTTTTTCAGAGTGTGTACCTTCCAGATGTACAAACTTCAATTCCCACAATTCTAAGGAATTACCATTGTAACAGAAGAATTCTGGAATTTGAATTCCATTCAACTTCAGGTATTCGATTTGGAGAAGGGCAATATAAAAGGGAAAAAAAGATGTCTATTGGTAGAGACATGTAGAAATTTCAGTTGCAGAAATATGTACAACTTGCAGTGATCTATGGTTCAGGCCACATTAATCTTACCTGCTGCTGTGTAGATAAATCCCAGAAAAGAATTCAACTTTAGATTAATGTGTAACAGTAAAATCTTAGCAACTTTATCTATATCCGAAGACAAACCTTAGCATCATATACAAGAATGGAACATCTTGGTTTTTATACAAGAAAGAAACCCACCAAATAGGTGTACATGTAAGAGTTAAGGTTATTTTCTGTGGGGTTTGACAATATTTTCGACTTACATGTTTTCATGTACTTTTTTCATGGCCTGAGCAGCATAGCCCATATTCTTGAACACTTCTGTATTTGTGTGGGAATTTTCAAGAGCCTCACGCTGGAATTCAATAGTGGAAAGAGTCCCNCAAAAACCTTTATGTAATATGTGTATATTATCACTTTGCATATTCTTTTTCTCAAAATTTATTTTTTATTTTTTAATGAATCAAAATAATACAACCATGAAACTACTGAAATCTAGGGAGAAAAGTTTAAAACTCTTACTGCATATTTTTTGAAAACTGGATATTGTAATAATGATAAATTTAAATATCATCTAAAAAAATAGGAAGATCCTTGGGGTATGATAAGATAGTGCAATAATATATTTATCCATCCATTTAACTAAATACCAAAATACTAAGAAATAATTGAATTGACAACAAATCTGGCGTTTAGTATGATCTTGCTATGTTAGATTTAAAAGCTGCCATCACTAAATTAAATTCTAATATAAAAACTTGCAAAATTTTCCATTTCCAGAATTAAATTTAGGTGGGTAATATTGTGATCTAATAAAGAAACCATATGATCTCCTCTACTAAAGTAAAAAGATGTTAGAACTCCTGTGTGATATATCTGGATAATCCTTAGACCTTAAGTAAAGTACATCTACCAAATTATTTAATAACCATTGTTTTTTCTTGTTTATGATTAGACCAGTAAATCAGAGACCCTATACACCTAGCAGATGTTGAATTTCCACAAAGATACACAATAATACAGGTCCTGCATATAGATTTCTTGTAAAAAAGCAATGTCAGATTTTAAATTGCACAATTTAATACTTATTAGAATATTTAAATCTTTTATATTCCAGGAAAGTAATAGTAATGTCATCTTAAATTAAAATTCAAAAGGGAGAGGGGTTAGGAAAAAAACCTGCTTATGGAGAGTCTAATTTCAGGGATTAAAAAAATGGCTGATGTATATAATAATTTTGGAACTTGTCTACTACTATTTTGAGAAATTTTTTAAAAAATTCTTCATATGATTTGTTTCCCAGATTAAAAAAAAAGATAGTTGAAAGAAGATACATAAGCATCATATAAATTATTGTATTTATTTAAATATTTAAAGAGAACAGTACTATCTAAATCAAAAAAATGAAGAAATAGAATGAATAAGGTTCATTTAAAAACCACAATCATAACATATTAAATTTTTTCTGCTTGACAAGATACTGCAATATCTTGTCTGCCATCAAGAAAATATACATGAATCCAGCACACAATTACTTGAATTTAATCCATTTGATTTACTAAATTATGACCTCCTATTTTTAAAGAGGCTAATAAACTCAGTATCACTTGCTGGTCACTCAGCTAAAAAATTCATTCTACTTTTTTCCCTTTTATAAAATCAAATTAATCAAACTTACATAAAAATCAGTAAAAGTTTGGTGCTACTAAATTTGAGTAAACTAAATCATATTCAATATTTTAGACTGCATAATGCATCATAGTTTCCCTGGATGCACTAGATCGCATGCCTTTATCGCCTTATACATTCAGTGATTAAGTGGGCTCTTGATAAAATATGAATATTCTAGATTTGTTTTAAGTGCATGTGGGATAAGACAGAAATGCAGGCTGGGAAAACATTTTTTAAAAAACCAACCATGGTATAACATTGTTCAGAATCACTAATTCCCAATCCATTAAAAGCGGAGTAGGAGAATCAACTACTCTAGCTCTTAGATGGACAGTGGACTCTCATCCCTGAGACTTATCAGGATTATAAACAATCTGAAAGCCAAACAATCCAAATCTCTTTTCTGAACTGCCCCAGGACCAACCAATTTCAAGGCATACCAATCATCTAAACACAGCTGGTAATGGATCTATGACACCCTTCCTTTTCTGATGATCTCTTCCAGAACAACAAAACTGGAAGGATCTTAAAAAGTTATCTATTCAGTACAAGATCTGCTAGATTGTTCACCCACCTCTACTGAAGAACTAAAAGAACTCATCACTTCATATGACAACTTATTCTACAGTCTCTGTGACTGTACATGACAGCTCATACAGTCAGAATGGTCCTCTTGTCATCTACCTTGAACCCATTCCTGTACTTTTAATCCACTTATTTTGGTCCTGCCCTCTGTATAGAGAATGCATCCTCTCTTTCAACAGAGGTCCACTTTCATCATCATCTCAGTTTTTAAGGTACAAAATCTTCATTTCTGCTTTGTACTCTGAACAAGCCATTGGCATTGTAGAAAGACCACAGAAAACAAAGAACTCAGTGCAAAATTGCTATTTAGTCAACCTAAATACCATGGGTTTTAATAATTTTGTTTGGAAAAATATATTTAAAAGAGATTCCTGGGAGACAACGGCCTGGGAGACAACTGCCGCCGCAGCATTGGACCGAGTCGTGCCCTTGCGGCCTCTGACCCGACGTGGATCTCGACCATCCCCTTGGTTCACCGAGGGGCTGAGAGAGATGAAACGTCGGAAAAGACGCCTAGAGAGCAGTTGGAGGGCCAGCCGTACCGAATCCGATCGAGCACAGGCAAGGATACATCTTAGATC